TCCAACGGCAATGCCAACAAGGCATAAAACGGTTATCGGCATTAATTGTGATGTGATGGCCCGTGGATTTGGAAATCGGTCGTCTTCCTTGGAGTACCTGGAATTTTGTCGGGTTCTTTTGCAGTTCCTGTTCTATAAAATAGCAATCAAAACGATTCCAGACTTTGACTCCACCTTTCTTCAACAGAGAGGACTTCTGACGTCAAAGTTTTCTTCAATCTATTATTTAAGTAGTGTGCTACACTTTTTCTGGCAGCCATTTGGCTAGTATCCCTTTTGCTTATGCTGTATTTTAATGACCTATTTAAAGCATAAATTGTGTTCTTTGCAAGCGTTCTTGAATGGTGTAGTGAGTCCTTTTCTTTGAATTGCTGCAATAATGGGTATAGTCTAGCCAGCTACACTTGTCATGGTAATTGGACAAGCTCATGTGGCTTATGGTGACAATTTCTCTTCACAACCCTAAATCTAGCCCCCCCCAATGGAAAATGTATGGGACATTCTGCCTCTAACAATGATACATTCCACTCTTTTGAAGACCTGGAAGACAAAACGTATACTCTACTATTCGCAGGCATAAGGCCATATAAAATTCACCAGCACCTTCCCAGTTCTCAGAACTAGGAAGTAACTTGTCACAGTTAATGACCGAAGCGATAAAAAAAAATATAGTAAGGGCTTTCAATCATCGGTATTGAATACCATGAGGAGGAGTGTTTGGCTTTGGTCTTGCCTAACTACTAGGTTACTCAAGGACTCTGTGGATTTCCCTATCTATGGTGTTTTGCTTGTCCCCTTTTAACTCCCCAATTCTGGACTTGTCAAATGATTCCACGTCCTCGGTTACATTGGTTAAACTTTCTCATCCATAACATGAAAGACTACACAACAAGGAGTGTTCATGTTCTTTGGTTAAACTTTCTCATCCATAACATGAAAGACTATACAACAAGGAGTGTTCATGTTCTTCGATCCTCAGTTATCTGAATTTGGTACATTCTAATGAGCAGCAGGTTAAATAGGGAGAACGGAATGGAATTTCAATCCTAGTAAAAAATAAATCCCATCATTTGAGGGCAACATGATGGCATCAGTACAACTTTCTTATTCATACAAGGATTCTGCTTGGAAAGCCTCCGGAGTATCTCATTTCTATTCTGATTTGCTTTTATTTCCTTGAAACAAAGAATCTTGTCATTCGGTTTCCAAAACATTATCTGCATTTCTTCCTGAAGATTACACTGAAAGAGCTTTTATATTTGTTACATAGGTGTTATCACAAGGTTCAGTTGTCTTTTGGTAACAGTGACTTGTTGATGCAGAAGAGATGCACTTTCCACTGAAGATCCCTGTAAAACTCCAGGACCATAGGGGGCAACCAGCCTTACATATTTTTGCTACAGTGACATCCCACAAAAAGCATATGCACGCTTATGTAGGACAAAGCATGTAGCATTGCACATAAGTCCAATTTTACTCGCTCCCCTGTTGTGACTAAGAGCCTGCAACTTGCTTGACATATGGTCACTGTCCTGGAATGTTGTCTCTCTAAAAGGGTTTACGCCCAAACATCTTGGTCCAGAAATAAAACCTGATATACACTGGCATTCCATGCCATGTACTCAATTAACAATGTAACACTAAATTAAATTCCTTTTTATTACATTTGTCATTGGCTTGTATGTGGAGCATCTTGGGAAGGACTGAAGTATCGTTGCTAGTTGCCTACACAACGTCTCTTCTAGATGTCAAGATATGATGGTTTCTTCTAGAACTGTTCTTGCTGCTCACTGTTGCATATCTGGTCGACCTTTCCTGTCTGTGTTCTGATGGGTCTTCTCTCATTGAAGTAAAACTGTTCCAATAACGCAACATAATTTCCAGAGGAAAATCCGTTTTCTTAAAACAATAATTCAGCATATAGAAGAATATCTGATGTCTGAAGATGGACTCAAGTTTGCCTTGTAAATACGTTAACAATATTTTTAGTATGAAACATTAGTTCCTGAAAGTGCATGATGAGATGCCAGAAATTAATATGACCACTGTTGACTCATTCCCTGAGGTTCTTCATATTTACAGCACCTTTTAAACAGCTGGGACATTGTGTACAACTTCTTCATCACGCATTATTGAGCTGAGGGAATACAAGTTACAGTTGGAGCTAACCGACTGCATCCAATGTTAAAGGGCCAGATGTTCTTCATCCTTAATACAACTGTACCCATCCTTAATACAACTGGACCCATCGTCCACCATTACTTGTTATATGCACAGTCTTCTAGGTTTTTCATCTTGTGCCAGAAGCAGTAGATAGTGCTCAGTTAAGTAGTAGATAATCCAGTTCCCAAAAAAAGCATCATGGTGGAACTGTATAATGAACCAGCTTTTTTGAACATCTTGAACATCTTCTTTATTTTAAGGATTATATTGCTAAATTATGTTTGAGATTTTTGCCTGCTACTTGTAGCTGCTACCAGGCTTCAAGTTAGGCCTAGACGAGGTCTACAACATAGTCAACTGATCATATGTAATTCAATGAGACAGATTTCCATAATAAACCAAACAAGGCATACCCGGCTTATTTTGGCATCGTTATTCAGCAGAAAATTTGCTGATACTGATTTAATGCAAATATAAATTTGGTGAAGTGATTGAAGTTGAGCTAAGCCAGGTTGCCTGTTTATATTTAGGGGGGTACAATAGGGATTTCCAGGCTGAACTTTTACATAATGTTGTAGGAGTGGTATGAAACATCCATGAAAAAAATTAGGGATGTTCAAATACCAGTGCCGATACTTGGCAGTTTCACGAGAACTACCAGGGTTGCAGAGGTTGCAGCTTGGCTCTGGAGCTCCACCATTGTCCTGAAATCATTAAGTCTGTATTGTTTTAGAAAAACTGTCACATGACAATAAACAAAAATGTATCAGTACTTGTATCAGTGAGTACTTTGACAAGTATCAGTACTTGTACTTGAAAAATGGTATCCGTGCATCCCTTTTTTATATATGTTTTATAAAAGCAAAATCCTACTATTAAACGGAGATGTACAAATCCCGGGAGCTCCGTGTGCTCCTTACAAATTAAAGCTGCCTCCTAACTTTTGAATTTTTTTCTAGTGTAGTCTTCTAGCTGGAAAAGTATCTGTACTTGGTATCTGAACATCCCTACAAAAAATGTAATATTTTTTTAGCACTGATCTTAATACATAAAATATATGAAAAAATACCATACATTCGTTTGAATAAACAAAAAGGAAGGTCTTTACCGAAGAACAAATGGGTAGTAGGCTGTACTAACTTTCTCAGAAATGTACGTCCGGAAAATACCTACAAATTCCAGGAAAATATGAAAAAGTGTTTTATGAAAAAAATTTAAATACTGCGAATTTATGAGCTTCCTTAATCCAATGTACATCCAAATCTTAGACTATCAGACTAAGTTTGCTTTCAGGAGGGAGAAGCATGGGGATGATCCAGGTGGCGTGATGCTGTTTTTCTATTGTCCACTCAGCAGGCTGGAGTGTATATAGGGGACTAGACTGTATTGTTTATATATAAGGAAAGTTTAGGTCATCCATTTGTCAGTGTGGCGGGGTCATCAGGGTGGCTGAACCAAATTGCAAATGTTTTTGGCAAAGTAAACCAAATACCTGTATGTATACCAGATGTAGTTAGGTATTTTTGGTTGGAGTTCAGCGAGACCAATTCATCTCGTGCTTTGTATAATGTATGTGTGTATATAGTGTATGTACATGTTAGCGACTCTTTGGAAACCCTTCTAAATTGGTGATCTTCCTGATTTACTCTGGTTTGTTTTTTTATTTGAGCCGTTTCCTTCTCCCAAACATGTGGGCAGCAGGGGGCAAATAATTATATTCCTGTTACCTGGTTTCCTATGTTCATTCCCCTACCCTGACATGTCTGCTTTTGAGTTTATATTAGGGATGCACCTATAATGTTTTTTGGTATAGAGTACAGTATTTATTTTTTTTTCCGGTACTTGCCGATAACAGAAGTTCCATTAGGGAAGCTGGTGACGAGGGGGCCAGCTTCCCGGCCAATCGGGAAGCTGGGGGGCGAGTCATTACCCGCCCCCGGCTTCCTGATTGGCCAAGAAGCCAGCTCCATGCTCCCCTGGTGGGCGAGTATGAGTACCCGGCCAAATACTCAGTATCAGCACCGATACGGATACTAGTATCGGTGCATCCCTAGTTTATACGCATTCTCTATTTTTATTTGGGTTTACTCTGCAGTTTCCTCCCACAATCTGGAACATACTAGGGGATCATTGGCTTTCACCCGAATAAGCCCTATTGTAGACCTCCTTTTGGGTACATGTACAGTCCAGTACTATACCAGTTATTATAGCCAAATGACTAGCCAAATTTGAAAGTTTCCTGTCTATACCCAGGGAGACAGATATTTAGTATTCTGCTTGTGATCTTGCTAGGAACTTGACAATATAGAGATGTCACCAGCACACCAGACTCCTACAAGGATAGTCAATAGTGAATTTATTCAAAACTTATATCAAATACACGAGCGCTTTCGGCACCACACTGCTCTGCCTGATGAAGGGATCCTGTGTGGTCCCGAAAGCGCTTGTGTATTTGACATAAGTTTTTGAATAAGTTCACAATTGACTATCCTTGAAGATGTGCTGGGGACATCTCTATATTGACTGCAATTGGCGCCGCCATCCGCGGTCATTCCAAGCACCATTCCTCATATTCGGGGTTGTCCGGTAAGGAGTGCACTAAACCTTTTCTCTTCATATCTTGCTAGGAACTTGTCACATCACTTTGGCACAAGGTCTGTTGTAATGCCACTGAACTGGTAGGCTGCATCCGTCTCTTCTGGCCTCTCCCATAAAATGGATGACATTGTATGTGCCAATACTTGATTAACCATAATACTACTGCAATGGCAGCCATGTTTGCTTTGTATAGTGTATACTTGTAAATGAACGCTTCAATTGGCTTTTTTCTTTATCAGAAGTATACCGGTGGCAGTGGTGGAAAGAAAGACGTAATTGAACTAACGGATGACAATTTTGATCGACAAGTATTGAACAGTAATGATGTTTGGCTCGTTGAGTTCTTTGCCCCTTGGTGTGGACACTGTAAAAAGTAAGTACCTCCATACCTTTTTTAGTTCTCATGTTGCAATGATCTTGCCTATAAAAGAGACCTTGTAGTGGTTTTGTACATATTTTCTTTCTTTATTATGGTCAGAACTAAAAACTTATCAATCAGCTCTCCTAATCCGGCATTGCTGATTGGTGCAGTGTAGTGCTGACGTCCTGGCCTGCTGTTTGGACCTAGCCGCTCCCACACCGGTAGCAGCAATACCTATGTGCGTGTACCATGGATTTGCAGCAACAACCATTGTACCAATTGAAACCTGTACTACAATGTCACAAGCTTCACCCCTTTTTTAAGTTTTTGGCTTCAATGGGGCTTTAAATATTGCATATTTAATATTATATTATGCTATAAAGTCAGCAGGTGGAAGTGTCTGCTGTTTTTTTCAAAAGCGCTGCAGTTTCTTTAAACATTGTCCAATAAATTGAAATAAAGTTTCACTTCAACTATCCAATCCGATCAAAAGCAAATTCCTTTTTATTATATCTGCACACAATTGGTTGTTAAAAGCTAACACTGCAACAGTATATCCAGTGAAGAGTCTGAACTCCTTTAGTAAATCAGCCTCAATGTGTTGTCTGTGCATTTCTAAGCCTATTGAGAGTCAGTAGGACGTGTGGTCTGTGCCTGCCGCCATTACTGACCAGAGCTGTATTTAGCTGCCCCTGGCACAACTGAATGACTACGTCCTTTTATACACATTCCGCTCATTGTGTCTTTTTTTTCTTTTTTTTTTTAAACTGCTACCACAATGTGCTGTGCTACTTATCAATTGTACATGCCACTGAACAAGAGAAAGAGAGAAGTTCATGTTTACTGAACTATAGAGCGACTTCTGACTTCTCTCAGCATCCCCTGCACCCCCTACAGTTCCCTTACTGAATTTAGCCACAAATGTCCAGACAAAAAAGATAAACATGATAAAGGAAGCATTTTAGTTTGTACATTTTGATAATTCGTGTTGTCCCCTCAAAGGTTGTTGCCTTATGCAATGGACTAAGACTTGTTGTCTATGCATGTCGCCACAATTGATGGCCATGAAATGTTGTTTAGGCCTGCCCCCCAATACCAATGGCCAGAACATGTTGTAAGAGCCTGTCCTTGCCACTGATGGCTAGATATGTTACCTGTGCTCATCCCCACCATTGATGGCCAGGACATGTTGCCTGTGCCCACACTCGCCACTGATGGCCAAGTTGCCTGTGCCCACACTCGCCACTGATGGCCAAGTTGCCTGTGCCCACACTCGCCACTGATGGCCAAGTTGCCTGTGCCCACACTCGCCACTGATGGCCAAGTTGCCTGTGCCCACACTCGCCACTGATGGCCAAGTTGCCTGTGCCCACACTCGCCACTGATGGCCAAGTTGCCTACACACAAAGGACACCTATTTTCCTGAAATTACCTTGGTATTTGTGTCATGTGGCCATTAGCAGAGTTCTTAATAGGATTTATTTATTTATTTTAATTTACTGCCGTTTTTTAAAATTCCTTGCCATCCTTTTCATTTGTACTCCAGCTTGGAACCAGAATGGGCAGCTGCTGCCACGGAGGTTGCTGAACAAACCAAAGGGAAAGTTAAGCTGGGTGCAGTTGATGCCACCGTCCACCAGGGTCTAGCCAGTCGATATGGGGTGAGTATTGCACAAAATAGGATGTCTAGTTTTATTAATGAATTCTACATCAAACCTTGATCAAGTTCAATGATCTCCGGGTTCCTGGTTAGCATGAAAAGTCAACCTGTCAGTAATTAACATTTTTAAAAGGATATTTATGTCAACTGATAGAGGTTCTATCCTTTATGTTTCTGTAAATGGTGTCTATACTCCTAGATTTCTCTTTACTTCCTGTACTGCTGACCACACCGGAAGTTGGGGCAACACGTCACCCTGCTTCCTGCAATTCTGATAACTCTTCTTGGTTTTATATTCTGCCCTTGTAGATCCGAGGCTTCCCTACAATAAAAGTCTTCCAGAAAGGCGAGGAGCCTGTTGACTATGATGGAGGACGGACAAAGGCTGATATTGTTGCTCGCGCTCTTGACTTATTCTCTGAGAACGCACCACCTCCCGAGATCTTGGAGGTAAGTGTAATCTATTATATCCCGCCTTTTCCCCAGTTAGCCATCATTGCACGTGTATTGGTTGTCCTTTTTAATGGCCGAACTTTTGCCATTTTTACTGTTTAACCCCTTCATGACTGAGTTTGTTTTCAGTGTCTGTTCGTAAATGACACACTTTTTTTCTATTTTTGCTGTGTGATTCTTCCACAGCTGTAATATACTTTCTTACAAAATGTACCCACACATATATATTGTTTTTTTAGAGGACAGATAGGGCTATATAATTATATCAAACGTGTACCTAACGCCACACTTAGTTCGAATAAAATATTTAAAAAATGAGGAAAAAAGGTAACGAAAACACTTTTTCACAAGTTTTTATTATTTTTTAGAATTTTTTTAGAATTTATAGTATAAAAAATAATATTTATATATAATTTTTATTATTCATTTTTTTTTACACTTTTGTTTGTCAGTTTATATCAAGCAGTCACTATGACTGCTTGATAAATTAACTTTTTAAATTTTTGGTTATTATTAGGCTGCTCCAAACTTAGGAACAGCTAATAATAACCTTAGAGACTGATCCTGACAGCATGTCAGTATCGGATCTCAATAAAGATTTCTGATCGTGCTCAGACGATCAGAAGTGATACATTTCAGGCACAGGGATACATTGTAACATTGTGCCTGAAATGTATCACACAGCTTCATAGACATAGGGTCAGTCTGTGGAGCTGTCAAAACGAATAGCGAGAGGTGACTCACTCTGCTTTCTTTAGCTGTCAAATACCGGATCGCTATTTAGCGATCCCATATTTTGTATGTTACGGCTTCATTCTTTCATTAATGAAAGAAAGGAGCTTTTACATAAGCTTAACTATTTCATTAATTTATGCCTTAATACTGAGGCATTCATTAATGAGTGGTAACCGCTGAGAATCAGCAGTTACCAGCAGTACAGAGCCTAAAATAACTGGTCACATACAGTGTACATGGCCAGTCATATAGGCACTTCGTGGCGGGACGTACAGTGTACGTCTCCTGTCATGAAGAAGTTAAAGTGTTATGTTGACATTGTTTGTTGATTTGGGTGTCTTCAGCAGAAGTAATGATTTTGTATATGTTTTTTTCAGATCCTGAATGAGGACATTGTGAAGAAGACATGTGAGGAACACCAGCTCTGTGTTATCGCCGTGTTACCTCACATCCTTGACACAGGTAACTTCATAACATTCATTCTCGTATTAAAATAGCTCTGTAATTTGAGGCAAACTTCTTTATTACATATTAGTTGGAGATAATAGTCCAGCTGGAGGTCTCGGTTCAGTTCACCATCCTGCTCTCCCAATGCTGTCTACATTTAAACAAATAAAGCCCTTCCTAATATTAAACTGACATGGTGTCTACAATGTAATGTGCACTACCTGTAGTATACAGAGCCGTCTGTATTACACCATAACCACCAACTATGGCCAATTTCTACACCTTTTGAGGTTCAGGTTAGATTTTCAGTGCGGGCTGTAGGAAGTAAAGAGAGTTCTTGGCAATGACTCTTTGAAGCATTAGTATCTGTATAATTATTACTATATGGAAAGTTTGCTGTACTGTAACCACATCAGTCTTATTTGCAAGCCGTGTCCCGTTGGCTTGAATGGGGACCACATGACAGCATGGCATCAGCTGAGGCACTCATGATTGAATGTGGGTCCCAAAAGATGACCAGTGTAGAATTAGATTATCAATGGGATGTTCTTCCTTTTTCTTCATCTTCGTCTTCCCTTTTTTCTTTTCCAGAATGTGATTTCCCTTTCTTTAACTTAATTGTGATGTTATTGCAGGTGCTGCAGGAAGAAACTCCTATTTGGAAATTATGCTCAAAATGGCTGACAAGTACAAGAAAAAGATGTGGGGGTAAGAAGTTGGCATAGCTTGTTACCTTTTAAATGTTAAAATGGGTTTGTATCATATGAGATGGTCCCCCCCATCATTTAACATTTGGTTATCGTCTAATACCCAGTAGACCTCCCAGTCATCAGGCTATTCACAGGGCAAAATGGCTGTACCAGGTGAACAGTGTGGCATGCTATCAACTAGTATCAGGAGATGGCTCCAACCACGATCCTGAAGTGAGGAACATTTTTGGAATGTGATGGGATGAGACTTGTGAATACCATCGGATCTAAGAAGGCTTTACTGTGCTGCACACTGATTTGGTTGGAGGACTTTTGAATCGCATTTAGTCTCTTCTTACCATAACCTGTATGGCTATACTGTCCTGGTGGGTCTCGAGGCCTACTCCGTAGAAGCCATGGTCCCCATACACTGCACTGATGTCCAAAAAGCCTGAAACAGCTGTATGTAGCTTGGAATAAATGGCTTTATGTTATTGGGATATATTTGTACTATACACCATTGCTTCTGGATGTGCATCTGGCTGACGGCATAAAGCAGTGATTTGCATGGCTCCGCCCCCTGTCCTGATATGAGGAATAACCCTTGTGTTTTTGAGATATTTGTTGGAATTAGATATGTGAACACCTTCTGTTCTGAGAAGAAGTTACTGTGCTACACACTGATTTGGTTGGAGGGCTTTTTGATTGCTTTATTCCCTTCTCACCATAACCTGTATGGTTATACATTACTGTCTCATAGTATCCATTACGAAATATATATAGATACCAAGTATTTTATGGTGGCCAGTTATTAAGTGAGATTTGAATTAATTTAGCTCATTTGTCTTACCTTATTTCCTACTGTTTGCAGATGGCTGTGGGCAGAGGCCGGGTCCCAGCTGGATATGGAGACTGCTCTTGGTATCGGTGGATTTGGTTACCCAGCCATGGCTGCTGTGAATGCTCGAAAGATGAAGTTTGCGCTCTTGAAAGGCTCCTTCAGCGAGCAGGGCATTAATGAGTTCCTACGGTAAGGATGTGGTCATGGCCATTCCTCTTCTAGTCTTTCTGTACTCATTGCTTACTTAACCTATTGGAAAATGCTTTTCAGGAGTTGCCCTTTAAGCCAGCCGGCCACATTGCTATTCAGCATATAAATCTATTATCCAATGACAATGGAAACCACTTTTAACACTTTAATCGCTGTCGTCTCTTTTTGTCTCAGGGAGCTTTCATTTGGCCGGGGTTCTACATCACCTGTTGCTGGCAGTACACTCCCCAAGATCAATACAGTTGAGCCTTGGGATGGCAAGGATGGAGAGGTAAGATGTCCGCTTAGTGCAATTACACCATTCTACATGTATCTGTAATCAATGCTTACATTTCATTAGACATGTTACCCCTTTCCAAGACAAGTATATTACTACTAGAGATGCACCGATACTAGTATTGGACGTGTAATGACTCCCTGCCCAGCTTCCTGATTTCCCAGCTTCCCGACCAATCGGGAAGCCGGGCGCCTTGTAATGACGCGGCGCCCGGCTTTCTGATTGGCCGGCAAACCAGCTTCATGCTCCCTCGACACCTCGTGACGAGAAAGCATGGAGCCGGCTTCCCGGCCAGTCAGGAAGCTGGGTGCCGCGTCATTACACGACGCCCGGCTTCCTGATTGGCCAGAAGGCCGGCTCCATGCATTCTCGTCACCTAGTGACGAGAAGCATGGGGGCGGCTTCCTGCTCATCGGGAAGCCGTTGGTGAGTTTTTACAATGCCGCCCGTCTTCCCGGCTAATCAGGAAGCCAGGTGCCAAGTCATTACACACTGCCTGGCTTCCTGAATGTGACTTCCGGTATCGGTATTCGATATCGGCGAGTACCGGAAAAAAATATTGGTACTCGATACCGAAATACCGGCATCGGTGCATCCCTAATTACCACCATGTCAGAGCAAAAGCTACCTGTTCGTTGAGTTGTGATATAATACATATGTATTTCTGCTGTACAGTCCTTTCTATAGTCACACATTCTTATCTATAAAGGCATTACTGGCCTATTATCTGGCAAAGATGGTGCTCTACCAGTGTGACTTCAGGAACCTTGCTTGGGAACCAGTATTGTTAACTCACTGCCCGCAATCTGTACATTGATATTCCCTAACACAATGCTCCATGCTGGGGCCCTCAAACTGTCTTACCTTTTTTGGCACTATGAATACTAATAAATAGGGGGGGAGAGGGGTGACTCACTTGTAATATACACACATTGCTTACAAAGCACAGAGGCGGCCATTTCCATGAGGATATATGAAACGGAAAGCTAACAAAAAATGTAAGTTTCTGTGTTCATATAAAACAACTGCATATGCCTGCTTCATGTACATCCCGTGTACATTGCTGGCATATGTTTTTTCAAAAATACCTCAGCAAAGGTGGAAATGGGCTTTAAAGAAAACCTGTCATAAATGAAATATTGGGCAGTGCCTGTTTTGAAAACGCTTGCTATCTGGCTGACTCCAATTGTTTGAGCCCCAGCACTGTAGGGAAAAACATGCAGATCAGGAAAGTTGGAGTAAAGTCAGCAGTCTGTATCTGCAGGTTTATTCTATATATATATTTTAGTGTCATGTGACAGTTTTCCTAAAACAATACAGACTTATGATTTTAGGACAGTGGTGAAGTGCCAGGGCCTGTTTGCAGCTGCGACGCTGGTAGTTCTGCCGCTGAATCCAAGCTGTAGAGGGACTACAAATCCCAGAAATACATTATCCAGCCATGCAGAATAATATGAAGCTGCATACCCTGTACTGCTCCGGGATGCCTGCCTGCTGTCTTCAGTGGAGCATCTCAGGAGGGCTGTGAAGAGTCTCAGGGGGGGGCGTGCGGGCTCCCAGGTGGATTGTGCAGGGATCCGGAGGGTGGCACTGTAAACGAGCGCCGTGGTTTACAGGAAGGCTACCGAGGTCCCTCAGCAAGCACGGGACCTCAGGCAGCCGCCTCCGTCTAAAAATCTAAATCTCCAGTATTGGCGTTTTAGTATTGAGGCATTTTCACAAGTATGAGTAGTATCGGCCCTGATATCGGCAACGGTGCATCCCTAGTTAAATTAACTAAAAGCAAATAGACTAGTTACTTTGCTACGCCAATTTGCACTTTGCAGGGGAGGTTTCTCTTAGCTTAGTGCATGTGGAGAAATTCCACTTTGCAAAGAATATCCAATCATGTAAAGAAAATAAAGAGTATTTTTGCTTGCACATGATTGGAGGATGGAAGTCAGCAGAGCTTCAACTCATTCGCTAAAGTTAGGGGAAACGTCCCCTGCAAAGTGAACAACCTGTGTGTCTTTAGTAGAGGGTCAGCCTGGCAGCCTCTGTTTTGTCTGTCAGGTTTCCTTTAAGAGGGATAAGGAAGTGTATGAAGTTCCAAGCTTCCTGGACAAATTACTTTTTTAGCAAACAACTAAAATGGGACAGGGAAAGTTTCGGTTTATAGGTTGAATGTCGGAAAACTTTGAGTGGAAGACAGGAGTTGGTAATGGGCGTACGCTATGCTGCACATTTAATACGCGGTCCCTTCATGACGAAACCATTCTGATCTTCAATTTGCTTTGTTTTATTAGCTGCCTGTGGAGGACGACATTGATCTCAGCGATGTAGATCTTGATGAGTTTGACAAAGACGAACTGTGAAGTGACACTCAAACCTCCCTCTTGTATTGTTACATCATACCTCTTCTTGGGGGAACTTTTACCGCTGGTGGTCATCTGTTCATCTGGAACACTGGCGGACTTTGATAATGGCCTCTTTTTAAACCTGAGAGATACTCGTGCACTTAAACTGAAGGCCTTCGGTGATGCCAATGGACAGTTCCTCTCAGGAGAATACAGAAAAATTCTATGAATTGTTGTAACAGCGAGTTTCATTGTATTCAATTTAGATTTTGCAAGAAACTGATGTTTTGGTTTTTTTTTGCGTGGGAGGGCTTCTTTGGGGGTATCGTGAAGGAAATAATGCTAATACCCTTTTGGACTTGGGGTTCATTAAAAACAAACTGTCTTCTCAATGTTTCCTCAGTTGATGCTGCAATCGTTTGTTTTTTGTTTAACATATTTTATGTTTCGGGTATTTTCATCACAAATTGATCAGCTTGATTCAATATCCAAATAAAATATTTTTTGACAAACTTGTGGTTCATTGTTATAAATTGCGCCTGTCATATATGTACATTCACTAGCCATTGTCCTGGAGGAGACACTGGTCATGGGAATACATCCTGTTCTATCATTTCTGATGCTTCTGCCCAGCACGGAATTCCATAACCCACCACAGGAGATTTCATTGTGAACCTTGAAGTGGAATAAAGCGACTTTGATGTCCGTCCTGTGATCAGCTGCATTCTGAAGGCAGGGTGCACAAGTGAGCTGTACAAGCAATGCACCTATGGATGGAGCTCCATCACAGCACAGCCGCTCACACTGGACCCCAGGCTGAGGATCCACTCCAGTTCTGGTAAATTAGGGAGACTGGGTGGACCTGAAAAAATGTTAGATTGTGTGTGAGAGTGTGTGAGAATGTATCTGTGAGATTGTGTCGCTCAGTGTTTTTGAGGGCCGTTCACACTAGTACAGTGTGTTAATCACACATTCCCATACGATTTAATGCACTGTACCACGCAATCACATCTACTGCACTTTCTGATGCGGAAGGTGCTTTGGCATTTGTTTGGCACCCCAAACGCACACCTCCCGCCCACAGTTCAATCACCTGCATCGGAACGCGCTGTACCTCCTGACATGCTTTCTCATGCGGTGTGACTGGACAAATGTGGGTCCTGAGGTTACACGGGTTGAGATTCACTGACCTTGAGTACCTGCTGCCATTTTTCTGCACCCCAGTCCTTGTGTTCTCATTTGGATTGTTTCCCCCTCTGAACAATTGGCTTTATGGTCACCACTCCTACATGAAAACCAATTTTGATAAGACTTCTCTGAAGTGTAGAATGATGCCCCACTGGTTTCTACCAGTTCTGCGCTGATGGCGATGCTGGGCATCTTATAGCTTCATGGGGAAAGTAGGCTTGATTTATTTCTCATGTGCCGCATTTAGCTTCTGTAGGCAACCACTGAGCTTGGCAGTTTGTACTCGTACAGCACATGTAGATACGCCAGGCTGCCATAATATTTCTGCTTGGGAGAGACCTTCGTGTTACAGCAGGAATGGCCAAACTCCGGCCCTCCAGCTGTGGTGAAACAACAAATCCCATGAAGCATCTCTCTCTGGGAGTCATGTCTGTGAGAATCTTGCAAACCCTTATGGGATTCGTAGTTCCACCTCCAGCTGGAGGGCCGCAGTTTGGCCATCCCTGTGTTACAGTATCACCACCTTCTGTCTTGTTGCTATGCTCACTGTTGGCATTGTGTGCGATTTCCACGTTACACCAACATGACATAGTGACGCTTCACCTTTTCAGTAAGCCTGTCCCTCACCCAGTGTCATTTCCTCCACACAGCTCTTTCTGGTAAAGCCCATTCACACTACTGTGTTGTGGCATCGTGCAGCAATGGCTGTCACATGGTGCGATGTGGTGCCATTCATTTTAAATGGCACCCTTACATACCTTGCTGATAGAAGTGCATTGTGGTGCACTTTTTAGTTGCCGTTGGGTAGCCCGTTAAAATGAATCCGGTGTAAAACAAAGGCTCCTATCTGCAGCAGCCTCTGGGCAGTTTCCACTCCTTCACTGTTGTCCTTAAAGCAAAGTTAACCCAAACACAGATTTTTGCACATACCATCTACACATATTCAGCTACCTCCAAGTTCCTCCTGCTACCACTGATTCCCAGGCCACTCTTTACTTAAAAGTTTTGGTACTTCCTGGAGGCTAAGCAGAAAATCTCCATATTAACCACAATAACAAATCTAAGGAGAACCCAGAATGGAAACTTGTTGAGGTCAATGCTGTGATATAAATGTTTGTGGAAAATGCACTCTGACAAGAAACATAGGGACGCCATTGATACCTAGTTTTTGAAGGTGAATGTTCCAGGACCGGCCTTCTTATCCCTCTTTCACCCTTTGGTGAATACCTGGCTTGGGAAAATCATGAATACCGGACGTCCTCATGCCAGATGTGCTTGTTCTAGATCAAAACCTTTAAAAAAAAAAAAATAAGCGGAATGGCGTTTCCCATATTTCTGTCCTGATATATCTTCTTTAGCCACTTAGATTACAACATTACAAAGTAAACCTTGCAGGCCCTCAGTGAATGAGTATCTATGGTCAACAACTATATTGAATTTCCATAAGTTCTATCCCGCTCCTAATAACCAGATCCATCTAGAAGTCTGTAAAATTACTTACTGAAGATACCCATAGGAAGGACTTCCTCAATGTACTGACACCATTTCACTCAGCCCTGACTTCCTGGTGTCACTACTGTCCCAAAGCCTGACTACTGAACTACAACTCAACGTCTGAACAATGTAACATTATCATTGCGTGCTGGAAGATATGTAGTCTTGACTCTGCACTAAGCGCCGATACTGACGCTTTAAATATTTAAATACGGGTGGCTTTCTGAGGTCCAGCACTTCCTGGGGACCTCCGGCAGCTGTCTTTAACAGTGCCTGTCCAGCCGCAAATCTTCCACCTCCTCAGACTCCGGCCCCTCTCCTCACATCCCAGCAACCCTCCTCAGACTCTGGCACCTCTCCTCACATCCCGGCACCCCTGCTCAGATTCCCGGACCTCTCCTCACATCCCGGCACCTCTGCTCAGACTCTGGCACCTCTCCTCACATCCCGGCACCCCTGCTCAGATTCCCGGACCTCTCCTCACATCCCGGCACCTCTGCTCAGACTCTGGCACCTCTCCTCACATCCCGGCACCCCTGCTCAGATTCCCGGACCTCTCCTCACATCCCGGCACCTCTGCTCAGACTCTGGCACCTCTCCTCACATCCCGGCACCCCTGCTCAGATTCCCGGACCTCTCCTCACATCCCGGCACCTCTGCTCAGATTCCCGGACCTCTCCTCACATCCCGGCACCTCTGCTCAGACTCTGGCACCTCTCCTCACATCCTGGTACCTCTGCGCAGACTCTGGCACCTCTCCTCACATCCCAGCACTCCTGCTCAGACTCCAGCACCTCTCGTCACATCCTGGCACCTCTGCTCAGACTCTGGCACCTCTCCTCACATCCCAGCACTCCTGCTCAGACTCCAGCACCTCTCGTCACATTCTGGCACCTCTGCTCAGATTCCCGGACCTCTCCTCACATACTGGTACCTCTGCTCAGACTCTGGCACCTCTCCTCACATCCCGGCACCTCTCCTCACATCCGGACACCTCTTTTCACATCCTGGCACCCCTGCTCACATCCCGGCACCCCTCCTCACACTCTGGAACCCTTCCTCACACTCCAGCACAAAGCCACTGAGACTATGGCACAAAGCCCCAGGACCTGCCAGAGGACAAGGAGGGAAGCTGCACCCTGACAGGGCACCATGCAGCCCTCTCGAGGTAGGCAAGATATAGGGGAGCCAAGCCGAAGTCACAGCATGATTGTCACTTATTGAAGGACACTGCAGGTGTCACAAACTTAAAGCATGATACAAACACTTTGTTAAACAAGACAGACAGGTGCCTTATTGTGTCACCAGCTTGCTGAATCCTCTCATGATTGGCTGAATTGTGAATACTGGAGAAAATGTCTGTATTGTTCTAGAAAAACTGTCACACAGCACTAAAAAAAAAAGTGTCGGTGAGTATCTGAGGAATAGTATCGGTACTCGTACTTGGTCTGAAAAAATTGGTATTGGTGCATCCCTACTATTTAGAGTATTAAATGCTGCAAAGCTCTCCAGCTTCTGCTCATATGTATGTATGTTTTCTATTATTCGAGACAGACAGGACACAGGAGACATACTAGTTGCATCATAACTGTATTGCTGAACATCTAAAAGGAAACTAGCATGGCTTTAGCATGACCAAGAAGTTCTAACATAGCATTATACACATGAACCTGTTGCGGTGTTATCATTCAGCACATGTTACACATAAACTGTACATTTTACATACATAGTTAGCTAGCCAAATGCCCATCAAGTGCAGTCTCGGACAAATATTCTAAAACATAATTTACATATAAATACTATGCAGTAATGTCTGCATAATGGACAATGGCTTGATCACATATTACTGGCTTGACATAGTGATTGTAGCTCAGAGCATGACGGGGTCCATTGATTCTATAACAGGCAGTGATAACAGTGTAACTGGTCTGATGGGGACCGGAGTTTACTATTACACCTTCTGCAGGAATGTTCCAGCACTAAGACTCAAAGTCTAGACTGGTCAGGTCAATCTTGAAGCAGACATAGGGGTAGTATTCTTGTGTGTTCAGCTGTAAGCCGGGGATATCCATATTGACCTGGGAAAACATCAACTGCAGTTAGAACATTGAAAATACCTTTGACTATATTCATGAAAGCTGAATATAAAAGACACACATGAATGCAGATCTCTATTCATGAATACATCATCAAAAGTATGTTTCCAAATGACAGCAGTGCAGGCACCTGAATGTGACCTAATGAATATAAGGAATATCTACTTCTTGCAGTTCCTGTACAATAGCACGCTGGGATGGGAGGTGGGGGAGCAGCAGAAGTCTGGTGTGCTCATGTGCTCATGTGCTAACAATGAGTATACTAATAGGAGGAGAGAGCAGAGTGACAGAAAGATGTTCAGAGAGATGGTCTCAAGATTTACTTACATCCTTCATGTTGGCAGCTGCGGCCTCATCCAAGTGTCTGAAAAGGGCATTTAGCACATCTCGCAGTCTCTTCATAGATTTCTTGTTGGGCTGCAAAATCATTGCATGGAAGTTCACCGGTAAACCATACCTGAGCCACAGAGGAATTGGAATATGAGTTACATGAAGTACCAGACAGCGGGTTCATTTTCTTTCCACTGTGCTCTCAGGGCCTAGCAGGTGACTCTGCTTGACCTCTGCTGATGGCACCCCACCACCACCACTGTGCCAGGACCCCAACTTACTGCCACTGCACCAACACCCGCCTCTGCACTTGCTGCCCCTACACCAACACCCACGACTGCACCAACACCAGCCTCTGCACTCGCTGCCACTGCACCAACACCCGTCTCTGCACTCGCTGCCACTGCCCCAACCCCCGCCTCTGCACTCGCTGCGACTGCACCAACACCAGCCTCTGCACTCGCTGCCACTGCCCCAACCCCCGCCTCTGCACTCGCTGCGACTGCACCAACACCAGCCTCTGCACTCGCTGCCACTGCCCCAACCCCCGCCTCTGCACTCGCTGCGACTGCACCAACACCAGCCTCTGCACTCGCTGCCACTGCCCCAACCCCCGCCTCTGCACTCGCTGCGACTGCACCAACACCAGCCTCTGCACTCGCTGCCACTGCCCCAACCCCCGCCTCTGCACTCGCTGCGACTGCACCAACACCAGCCTCTGCACTCGCTGCCACTGCCCCAACCCCCGCCTCTGCACTCGCTGCGACTGCACCAACACCAGCCTCTGCACTCGCTGCCACTGCCCCAACCCCCGCCTCTGCACTCGCTGCGACTGCACCAACACCAGCCTCTGCACTCGCTGCCACTGCCCCAACCCCCGCCTCTGCACTCGCTGCGACTGCACCAACACCAGCCTCTGCACTCGCTGCCACTGCCCCAACCCCCGCCTCTGCACTCGCTGCGACTGCACCAACACCAGCCTCTGCACTCGCTGCCACTGCCCCAACCCCCGCCTCTGCACTCGCTGCGACTGCACCAACACCAGCCTCTGCACTCGCTGCCACTGCCCCAACCCCCGCCTCTGCACTCGCTGCGACTGCACCAACACCAGCCTCTGCACTCGCTGCCACTGCCCCAACCCCCGCCTCTGCACTCGCTGCGACTGCACCAACACCAGCCTCTGCACTCGCTGCCACTGCCCCAACCCCCGCCTCTGCACTCGCTGCGACTGCACCAACACCAGCCTCTGCACTCGCTGCCACTGCCCCAACCCCCGCCTCTGCACTCGCTGCGACTGCACCAACACCAGCCTCTGCACTCGCTGCCACTGCCCCAACCCCCGCCTCTGCACTCGCTGCGACTGCACCAACACCAGCCTCTGCACTCGCTGCCACTGCCCCAACCCCCGCCTCTGCACTCGCTGCGACTGCACCAACACCAGCCTCTGCACTCGCTGCCACTGCCCCAACCCCCGCCTCTGCACTCGCTGCGACTGCACCAACACCAGCCTCTGCACTCGCTGCCACTGCCCCAACCCCCGCCTCTGCACTCGCTGCGACTGCACCAACACCAGCCTCTGCACTCGCTGCCACTGCCCCAACCCCCGCCTCTGCACTCGCTGCGACTGCACCAACACCAGCCTCTGCACTCGCTGCCACTGCCCCAACCCCCGCCTCTGCACTCGCTGCGACTGCACCAACACCAGCCTCTGCACTCGCTGCCACTGCCCCAACCCCCGCCTCTGCACTCGCTGCGACTGCACCAACACCAGCCTCTGCACTCGCTGCCACTGCCCCAACCCCCGCCTCTGCACTCGCTGCGACTGCACCAACACCAGCCTCTGCACTCGCTGCCACTGCCCCAACCCCCGCCTCTGCACTCGCTGCGACTGCACCAACACCAGCCTCTGCACTCGCTGCCACTGCCCCAACCCCCGCCTCTGCACTCGCTGCGACTGCACCAACACCAGCCTCTGCACTCGCTGCCACTGCCCCAACCCCCGCCTCTGCACTCGCTGCGACTGCACCAACACCAGCCTCTGCACTCGCTGCCACTGCCCCAACCCCCGCCTCTGCACTCGCTGCGACTGCACCAACACCAGCCTCTGCACTCGCTGCCACTGCCCCAACCCCCGCCTCTGCACTCGCTGCGACTGCACCAACACCAGCCTCTGCACTCGCTGCCACTGCCCCAACCCCCGCCTCTGCACTCGCTGCGACTGCACCAACACCAGCCTCTGCACTCGCTGCCACTGCCCCAACCCCCGCCTCTGCACTCGCTGCCACTGCACCAACACCCGTCTCTGCACTCGCTGCCACTGCACCAACACCCTCCCTTGTGTCGACATCCAAAAGCCCTGAGACCGCTGCTGGGTGCTGCCATCTTGGATATGATATCACCAACCCCAGCAGAGTCAGAGCTGTTACAAAAGTGACACTCTATAGTATTCCCATTCACTTTTCCCCCAGATACATAAAAGGATATGTGGGGAGGTGAGGGACAGAGAAGCTAGGCCAGCACAGACAATAATTAGACACTCCTTGAAGAGTAGAGAGCTATGACGTGCAAGGAGGGAGGGGGCTGTGCTAGGGAATTGACTCTCCTGGAGTGATCACATTTTCTAGTAAGTTCAAAGGGTAATTGCAAATTAATAAAAATCTTTTATAAAAGGGAAAAACACTAGAAGTAAGAAATGAAAATAGTTGCATTTTTTTCTGAGGTTTTACTATTTATTACTGTAATGTATCAGAGGAGACTTGCTCTTCCGCTATAAGGTTGAGTATACAGCAGTCTACATTGGGCTTGTATAAGATATTAGCACAGTGTGAATGAGACGTTATTGCATCTTGCTGGCTCCCTGTCTCCATGTGCTGATTTGCCATGTTGGTCCTTACCTGAGGACAGACTCCACAAATACCCGCAAGGCTTTTATATGCGTCCAAGCAATGAATGCTTCACTGAAGTTTACTTTCAGCCAGCGCAGGAGAGGGCCCTGGAAAACACAATAGTTTTTTCTCTCAGATTCGGATGGTAATTGATCAGCCTCGGGTTTGCTGATTTGTCACCGGAATGTGGTTAACTTTGTGCATTGATCAAGTTCCCAATAAAATTCTTGTTGTTTAGAACAGTAAACTCAGCTCTCAGGGGTCTATTTATGAACAATTTGTCCCGTGAATATCTCTGAACGTTCATTTTGGTTGATTATATAAAAAACGATTGTTCACCTTGTGAATATCTGCGAACATTTGTTTTGTGTGAGTAATGGCAAAAACAAAGGTTCTCAATATATTTTCTTTTCAGGTTGGATGTATCGTGATGTAATATTGTATTATGACCACTAGATGGAACTGAAGAGCATAGGAAGTAAGTAATGCTTCCCTATGCTCCTCAGCTCCATCTAGTGGACATAATACAATATTACATCACGATACATCCAACCTGAAAAGAAAATATATTAAGAACCTTTGTTTTTGCCATTACTCACACAAAATAAACAGACACAGATGATGTTCACAGATATTTGCAGCGTGAATGGCTTTGCAGATTGTTTATAGATATACACCTCAGTATCAGATTATATTACACTGACAACTCAGGACGTTTCCACGTTTTTTAACTGTAAAAAATAAGTCAGGGCAACTGGAATTGCTGCATTTTCCTAAAGACGTTCCAATTGTCATCCAACCAGCTTTCTCAATTCAGAATGACTTGCACAAAAAATTATCTGATATTATGCAAATGAAATCAACACTTGGTTGCAACTAAGATTATGTGGATTGGAACTACATTCACCATATTTATTCCCAGAGAATTTTTGTGCAAGTCATTCTGAATTGAGAAAGCTAGTCGGATGACCAGTGAACATCAAAAATAGAAAATACAGCAAGTCCAGTTGCCTTGACTTATTTTTTTACAAATATACCATGACCTGGATGAGTGAGAACCTTCACAGACACATTTTTTAAGTTAATATTGTAACATTAACCTAAAAGTTATTTTTGAGGTCAATTGCACAAGTTTCTTTACTTGATGTTCCGTACTTCAATTACTATATTTTATATATAGAAGTATAGATGGTCCCCTAGTGGTCACATGTATATCAGGGAACAATCCTTGCATAAAGTGACTCTGTACTACACATAAAGTCTGCTCCTACAATGTCCACGCTTACCTGCTACTCCAGAACCACGTCATTCCTCCAAACATGATACTCCTACACTTCCCGCAAGTCAATGCTCAGTACCTAAGCAGGGAATGTGCTGAATACTTACATACTGCTGCTTCTTATCCGCCTCCAGCCTAATGATTTCATCTTTTTCAGACTGCAGCTCTTTCTCATTGAAGAAAAACTCCCGCACCATGAACCTGGCAATGAGTACAGAGACACAGCAACATATAATAGAATGTCATGGAATGAATAGTGATGGTTTAATGGAAGAGCTAATGTATAAGGAGGACATTCAGATCAATCAGCAGACAATGGTGTAGGAAGGGAACACCCAGGAGGTTCTACACAACCCGATTCTATAGAGTTCTTATTCTTGTGTGATAGTTTTAATTGCTGTAAGTCTGAGGAACCCAATCAGAATCCATCTTACACTCATCTGACTACCTCAGACTCCATTCTGATTGGTTCTATGCCCTACTGAACTGAAAGTAGTATAAAGTCTCAAACTGTTTATTTTTCAATAATGAATTCAGATCAAACAAATATACAATTGCTCAGCACATTATTTATATACATTTTTGCCCAAACACTTACAGTCATCATATTCCTGAATAGCTCCAACTCTCTAAGCGCAGCTTCCCTAAACTTCCTGTACAGTACAAGATCACAAGAGACAGAGCAGTCTCCAGAAGCTGTCCATCTACTAGCTTGGTGAAGGGAGGGGAGAGGAAGGAGATATGGAGGAGGGGAGTGATTTGGTTTGTGGTGCCGGTGTGTTTGTGGAGACATACGCAGCTTACTAGCACACACAAGGGTTGCTTCATAGGACCCTGCAAGGGAAAGGAAACACACTAACACAGGAAGTCAGGACCAGTGCTCGGGGGACCAGCTGATTCTGCAGGAAGCTAAAACTTTTAAATATCAAGGAGCAGCATCCATTGTAAGTGATTTCATCAGCGTTTGAAATAGCTTAAAGTGTTATTAAACCCTCAGCGGTTTTCGCATATATCTACTGCTAGCAAGCAGTAGATATATGCAAAAACGTTTTTTTTACAAACTTTTAAAAAGGGTTTAAACTTACCTTGTGTCTTCGCCACGCACTCCCGTCCGAACATGTGAAGAGTCTCGGGCGGCCGCAAAGGATCATGCACACTTCAGATGTTCGGCTGGGAGACGAGGAGAGACACAAGGTAAGTCTATGGAGCAGTGTGCACCCGCACAGTCTCCGTGGGATGTCAGAGAAGAGGAGGACAGGGGAGTCAGCGCTGGATCGGAGACCCGCACCAACGCTGGAGGGACATCTGAAAAGGACAGGAAAGAAGATCGAATCAAGAGCCATCATTTAGATAAGTCCTTACAGCAGGATTGGGAAGGGGCAAAAAAAAGTTTGACTTTAATGTCACTTTAAAACCCTTTTGACTTTAATATCACTTTAAGATATAGCACATAAGAATAATAACTCTTCCCTCAATTTGGCCAATGCAGAAGCAAAATGTCAGCTCGTATGTACAGTGGAACACCCTGAAAAGAATCATTTGGGGTGAAAGTGGAAGGAGAGAATATTTTTAGTAAATATCCATTCTATTTCTATTCCATTATTTTTTTTTATTTGACTTACATTTTTGATTTCCGTGATTTGCAACAATGTCATTATTTTATTTCAGCTGCAGAGTAAATAGTTCTAATGGCTATGTGTGCATCAGACAGTATGACCACCATCCTTGCAGAACAACTGCTGAGATACAAATCAATTATGGGATCTCATACCTCCTAACTGTGTGAAATGGGTAAGAAGAAGGTATGTAGGTAAAGGACACACCCCTTGCCATACCTCTGGTAACATTGACCATGAGGATTAATGTGCAACAAAATTAGGGATGCGCCAATACCATGTACAGTAATCGGTACAAGTACAAGTACAGATACTTTTCCAGCTCCAAGACTAGACTAGAGAAAAATGCAAAAGTTAGGAGGCCGCTGTCATTTGTAAGGAGCACACGGAGCTCCTGGGATTGGTACATCTCTGTTTTAATGTAGGATTTTGTTTTTATACATATAAATAAAGGGATGCACAGATACCAGTTTTGCGAGTACGAGTACTGGTACTTGCCGAGTACTTACAAGTACGAGTACTGATACATTTTTGTTTATTGTCATGTGACGGTTTTTCTAAAACAATACAGACTAATGATTTCAGGACAGTGGTGGAGCGCCAGAGCCAGGTCCCAGCTGCAACCGCTGCAACCCTGGTAGTTCTCATGAAAATGCCAAGTATCCGCACTGGTACTCGGAAAGTATCGGTGCCTCCCTAAAAAAAATGATTGGTTTAACCCAAAATGGCTTTCTTTCATCACTTTACTTTGGCCTGTCAAAAATAACAAATTGAATCATATGGAGGTTCAATAAAAGGTTTAATGCAGTAAAATAGTTTTGATAGTTTAAAAATACGTTTTTAACAATACAGTAATCTTTCTGTTATCCGGTATTTAACTAACCAGAACTCTCATCTAACCAGAAAAAAAATGCCCTGTGTGCTCACTGTTCTGCTAATCTGCAGCATGTATTATCCTGGAAACAATCGTGTGCCTATTTGTCTTGATTTGTCTTTGATGACTGCATTTCAATATTAATATGAAGTCAATAGAGAGTTTATGTTATGATATGATATAGTTTGGGGAATTACATTAGCTAGACCTATTTTTAATAGTAACTCTCAAGCAACCAGAAACTACATTTATCTGGAATCTACCAATCCCCGTGGATGCCAGATAACGGGGAGTTTACTGTATTAATAATTCATTTCAACTATACATCAGGTCAAAAAGAGGGACAATGGAAGAAGAACGAGGGACAGAGGGATTTGGTTCCACATGAGGAACAGTTGGGAGCTATAGATAAGCTACCTTTGTGTTCAGTAAATCATGATAGGTCTGTGCTGACCCACAGACTTGATACTGACTGAGACAGACTTACAGGTGAAACTTGAATAATTAGAATATCGTGCAAAAGTAATTGCAGTAAGTGCTGCAAAAGGGGCCCAAACCAAGTACTGAGTACATATGCATGCTTGTACTTTTCAGAGGTCCGATATTGTTCTATGTACAATCCTTGTTTTATTGATTGCATGTAATAATCTACTTTTTTGAGGTTGTGGATTTGGGGTTCTTGGGGTTTTCATGAGCTGTAAGCCATAATCATCACAATTATGACAAATCACGACTTGAACTATCTTGCTTTGCATGTAATGAGTCTATCTCATATATTAGTTTCACCTTTTAAGTTGCATTAGTGAAATAAATGAACTTTTGCACGATATTCTAATTATTCGAGTTTCACCTGTAGATAAGAGAAGAAAGAGAAGGCCAGTTGCACTCCTTACCGGTCAAACCCCGTGGTCAGGGAGGGGTGCTTGGAATGACTGCGGATGGCGCCGCCAAACATAGATACTTGCAGAAACTTCACCAGCACACCGAAATCCTTATAGGATCAAAACTCTTTGATTTACTGCAAACTCATGTCAGTTAGCGCTTTCGGGGCCACGCAGCGTCCCTTCATCAGGCATAGCAATGGTCCCTTCATCGTCATTGCTATGCCCGATGAAGGGACCCTGCGTGGCCCCGAAAGCGCTTGTGTAACTGACATGCGTTCGCAATAAATCTACAATTTTTGATCCTATAAGGATTTCGGTGTGCTGGTGAAGTTTCTGCAAGTATCTATGTTTGGCGGCGCCATCCGCAGTCATTCCAAGCACCCCACCCCGACCACGGTGTGGCCCCGAAATTGCTTGTGTAACTGACATGAGTTTGCAATAAATCTACAATTTTTGATCCTTTAAGGATTTTTCGGTGTGCTGGTGACGTTTCTGCAAGACTTAGATAAGAGAGGCAGAATCACTGGGCGTCCCTACTAAGCAGAGAGGACAGCATGTGCATCCCACCCCATGTACATTTTTAATAACAAGTTCAAGTGCAACTTAAGCCAACTTTTTTTAGTTTTGAGTAAAGTGGAGAGGGATTAGAACCCCTGTCAGGTTTATATTGCTGTCTGTGTCCCCAATAGGGAGATTCACCCTCTCTGTTTGCTCTGTTGACCATTATCACTGAAGGTGAAAGAAAATCCCAAATTTTGGATTATCATCAGAACAGAAATAGATGGCAAATAATCTGATGACCCTGCTGACCACCAGGGATTTCCCTTTCTTTGGAGGGATTTCCTCTCAATTTTCTATTTTAGCTGTCAAACAGGAAGTAAAGGGAAATCTCCCCAATGGGACACACACGGGAAAAAAAAATGTTGATAGGGGTTATAACCCTCCCTTACCCTATCCAACAATAAAAGAAAGTGTTTCCTTCAGTTCTGCTTTAAATTGTTTATGCAGAAAACCAAAAATTCCAAATATATTTAATCATTTTAACCCTGACAGTATGTAAAATGTTATGTCTACTGTATCTGTATTAATAAACACAAGGCACAATTCTTACTTGTTTTCTCGAGCTTTCATTTTAAAATCATCAATGACTTTTCTGAAAAGGGTGACCGTAAATAAACCTCCTTCTGCGTCCTCTGCAATCAACCTACAATGACAAGGACAGGAAGAGTGAATAAGAGAAGAAAGCACAGACACCTCCTCACTGACCCAGAGGGACACGGATGTGACCACGTCTATTAGCATAGCAGCTGAAGAAGAGTCACAGATATTGTCCACATCTACGTCCTGGTTTGGATATCCTACATTTTAAAGCCCAAGTAAAGCCTTCCTATTTATTACTTTATACAAGCTGCATAAAGATTGTACATAGGTCTATTGTTACATACTAAGTCCTGCAGCAAGGGTTAAAATATCCTGTGCTAGCAACACTTGAGGTTCACTGCTAATAAGAATCAGACCACAGCTCTCTCACCCGTAAGCAGTCCAGCGCTCTCCCCTGTACACTGCTCTAATTTTCAGCACTCTATCTGCCTCAGCAGTCATGTTGATTGGAGCAGTGTGCATGGAGGAGCGTCAGACCACTGGAGACCTGGGCTGCTGGCTGTATGTGAGTGCTGTGGTCCAATTCTTCAATGTGTTGATGACCAGCAACAACTAGGGATGTTTCTAGAGTTCCAAAAGACAGAGAGGAGTGTCAGATCACTGGAGATCCAGGCCACTGCTTATGAGCCTGAGAGCTGTGGTCTAATTCTCCAACATGCTGACCACCACCCACAATTAGGGATATTTCTAGAGTCCTAAAAGACAGGGAGAAGTGTCAGACCATTGGGAACCCGGGCCACTGTTTGTGTGTGTAGGAGTCGTGGTCCGATTCTCTAACGTGCTGACCACCACCCATGACTAGGGATGTTTCTAGAGTCCTAAAAGACAGGGAGGAGCGTTAGACTACTGGAGACCTGGTTCGCAGCTTATGTGTGAGCGAGCCATGGTCCAATTTTCCAACATGCTGATCTCTCTCCACAATTAGGAATGCTTTTAGAGTCCTCAAAGACGGGGAGGACGGTACTGCTGAATCCTAGGTTATGACTAGTAATGTTTTTGCTGTCCTAGATTTATTGGGCTTTGGTCCCTTTGTATGTTTTATGTGTTGCTTAATACAGAATTATAAAAAAAAACAGACAGGGAGGAGTGTCAGACCACTGGGAGACCCGGGCCACTGTTTGTGTACGTAAGAGCCGTGGTCCAATTCACCAATATGCTGACCACCACCCACGGCTAGGGATGTTTGTAGAGCCCTACACAGTACCCTACAGGCTAAAAAGTTCCCTTTCATTGCTCTCTCAGCCCCCTGTTTTCTTGCTTCTCTCTCCTGTCTGTCACTCCTCACCTTTCCGTCCTAGTATTCTCTTTCTAGAATCCATCACCTTCTCCCTCTTCACTTTATGTTTGGGAAATACTGCAGGACGAAACCAAATGTCACCTGGCCTGCTTAAGGGAAATCTGTGCCATTGCTGAAAGGTGTTCCTGAAAATGTCAGTTTCCTGGATGTTGTGGTAATCCAGTGGCCTCAAGATCTTCTGATATATTCATATATACAATCCAGTGAGAGTGCCAAGCAAGACAGAATAGGAGCCTGAAACGCTTATATAGGGAATGGGTTATTAAACAACAGCCAATACGTTTCAGGGGTTTAAAAACCAGGGACATGCGGTCAGGGGAGGCAGGGGAGCCAATGCCTCACCTAGTATTATGGAAGGACATGCAGTGAGGGAAGCCAGGTGAGGCAATGCCTCACTTAGTATTATGGAAGAAAAACCTGCCAGCTTCAAATCTGAAGCTGACATCTTTCTCCATCCAGAGCGGCTTGTAACAGGTTACACAGCAGGGAAATCCTCCCCACTGTGTAACCCTTCATGGACGGAGCGCTGCCTGGAATTACAGGCGGTGCTGCATCCAGCTTTTGACAGCTAAGTTACACAGCAGCGGGCTTCCCCACTGCTTGTGTAACCTAACATAGAGAGGCAAGAGCTGCAACAGCCTCTACTCTGTGTTAGAGGCTTGAGCTCTGTGGATGGTTTGGACCAATGGCAAAGCGCAATTGGTCCAAGCAGTCCAATCAAAAAGGAAAAAAAAAACACTGAGGACATCGATCTCAATGCCTCACCAGTGACGAGCAAGTAAGGGACAGGGAGGCTCCTCTCTTCTACACAGGACATCTACACAGGAAATATCAAATAAATAAGCAACATCTAAAAACACCTGTATGAATCCAGCATCTCACCTGTACTTGTTCAAGATTTTCTGAGTCCCTGACCTTGCAAAAGTATACAGATCAGTTCTGTCTTCACTGTTCTGTTCTGGGTCAGAGACTCAAAAAAAATTAGATCAGTATGACATTCAGGCAACTGGCATTTTCAGAAGAAAGTCAGAAATGTCAGGCCGTGTAATTCTCTCAGCCCAATATTCTTTTAATACTGTATTTCCATTTTTAGTTTTTTACTAAATATTTCCTTAATAATAATGGTAATTAATGCTTTCACTGGGAAAAAACCCCATACAGGGAACATACTGCATTTTGATAACAGCTTCTAGCACGCTGAATTCTTAGTTTATACTACATTTGGATACAGCTGAGTACAGCCAAGTTGTCATATTTTGTGGCAGCAACATATAGGAAGCATTCTGGATGGTTTCTACTCACTTGGTTGAACGGGGAACAACCATATCAGACAGCAATTCATAGGTTTTTTGCCATGCATTGTAGCTTGACCTTTAAAAAAATATATATATTATTATCATTAGAATCACAGTTAAAGCATACAGTATATATAGGGTTCAATGGCACCCTGGCTGAGAAAGGCTGCTCTAGACTTACAATGCACAGTCTGATCATTGGGGTAGACTGAGGAGACTGAGGAAATACTTCCACCTGCCCAGACTGGGCAAAGTCATTGGACTGGAAGTCAAGCAAACTGTGGAAATGTTTGGGGGATATTGTATATTGTGACATGTTAGGAATGTATGCATGGACTTGTAAAGTTACTGAAAGGTCTACATTAAGGTAACCATAACTTACTTTGGGACAACTACTAGAAGAGTAATGAGGTATTCCGAGTTCAACACAAAGTCTTCTTTATTTACAATATCAGCCAGGGTTCTGGTCAGAAGGTTGCCCCTGCGGAGAGAAAGACAGGTGTCAATGAACAATAGAGCTATACCAAAGAACAAGTTCATATACTGTAGTTATAGTTAAAGGAAGCCTGGATTTAGGATCTGAGTTTATAGGGCGTAGGTTGCTTATAAATGCTATTAAAGGGGAACTTTACCCATATCTTTGAAATGGCAATAAAACACCTTGAGAAATGTTTAGTAAGGACAATCTACAAACAGATACTTCTAGATAATTGCCGGCTTTTTATTCTTATTTTCCTTTTCCTTCTTCTCACAGTGACCATTTTTACTAAGGGCAGATGAATCCATCTCCCTTTACTTCCTGGAACTCTGGCACATTTGACTAGGACATGTGACCATGCACATTATCTCAGGGGAGGAAAATGCCTTTCCCTGAGATCTCATGAGATTGCAGATGAGATTTCCCAGCAAAGCTCTGCTGATGTAACCTTCCCAGGATGCATCACTTGGGCACAATTACATCACTAATGCCCAAGACGACCAGGAAGTGGAAAAACAGTATTTGTAAATAAAAGAAAAATGTGTTTGTTTAACTAATGTATGTAAGACAATTTCATATCAGCATGCAGTGTTGTATGCTGATGAGATTTTAGTAAAAGGGGGTGAAGGTCTTAATAAACTTGAAATTATGACCAGAATAGAGCAAAGGAAGGAACAACCTAGGTGCTACTTTTAAATGAAGCTTCCTGATGTTTGATAAATATAAAACATCACAGGGAAAGAAAACTAAAATAGACTTTTTTCCCTAAATCCCTTCCTGGTCCTATATTTACCCTTGGCATGAGAAATATTCACTCAAAGAAGTACAAAGTGACTCACATAAACAGCTATACATACACGGTTTTTCTCTCCAGGCTCTGCAGGTTGCCTTTTATATTGTTGTAGGTCTGGGCTCTTAATTTCAGGTCTGTGTCTATCTGTGTCATTTGCTGCAACAATAAAAAAGATAATGCAAGATACTTTTTGCTGTATATAGTGACAAATGACATAAAAAGTATTACAGTATAACTGGAAAAGAAGTGTCCTTATAGAAACTGTGGAGATTGAATACAAGAATAAAAGAAAAGCCATATTTGCAGAGGGGGGAATTTGCTGGAATTGACCCGGCAATACTGGAATTTTTGATCCGGCTGCCAGGAATGACATCATTCTCTGCCAGCTGCTACAGTGTCCACATGTAAGTGCCCTCTGTGTGCAGCTTGCCTGTGTTTTATCACTGCCAGTGCCACCAATGCATAGGAGAAAGGGGTTAATGAACAATACCAATGACCACCTAACATTGCAAGGGGGAAGGGTCTAATTAACCCCTTCCCCCTTGCACTGGAGGGTGGTCAGTGGCATTCTAAATTTCCACTGACCACCCACCAATGCAGGATGTGGGAGAGGATTAATTAATAATGACACTGGCCACCAAAGTTGGGGGTTAATATTGCGATCACTAAACCCCAATGCTGGGGGTTATTATTGCATCCACTGACACCAATGCTGAGGTCTATTATTGCGTCCATTGACACTAATGCTGGGGGTTATTATTGCGTCCATTGACACCAATGCTGGGGGTTATTATTGTGTCCACTGACATCAATGCTGGGGGTTATTATTATGTCCATTGACACCAATGCTGGGGATTATTTTGACCACCCTCTTCCAACCCCTAAATTCTTATTGGTCCACCGCTCTAATAGGCTGATTCCTTGGCCAAAAGTAATGTGTTTGAGGGTAGGAAACAATACCGGTCAAGAAAACAAGTGACAAGGAGAGGGCCGAGGTGCTGAACAATTTTTTCAAGAGTGTAGATTTGTTCAAGAAACGTTTGGACAATTTCTTGAGGCACCGTAATATCCAGGGATACCAGTATCCCTAAGAATGAGATGATGCGTGGACCTATATGGGTTGGACTTGATGGACGTATGTCTTTATTCAACCCCAAATACTATGTAACTATGTATGTAATTTGGTAGGAGCTGGGGAGTAGAGGTAAGCAATGTAGCAGGCAAAGTGCAGGTTCACTTTTAAGCTGCCCATACACAAATTAAATTTTGGACAATTCCTGGTGAATAGGTTGAAATGTGCTCTGTCCAAATTTCATCCGCAAATCGAAGGAGCCTAGCGGAAAATTCTCGGTTGCACAGTGACTACAGCCTATTAGATGCGATCACTGTTCAGGCACTTAGCTTACTTCTAGTCTACAGCCATGGGCTAACTATCAGAATACACTTACCAGCAATAGAGATTTGAGCTGAATGAGAGAAATCGCAATATGTAAGGCTAGCCTAAGGCACACTACCGTAGCCTTTCAATGAATATCATCACATATAATAAAGCACGCTTTAATTGCTACTGAAGCCTGATGAATCAGGCCCATTGTCATTCACAAGTGTCGAAGGCAGCACAACGTGTAAGTGCAGCCCTTGAAAAAAGATAATGATGATGATGAAAAAAACATCAATCCTACCTTGCTTAGCGAATCTGTCAGAATTTTCAGTGGCTGTTTTATAGGATATTTAGCCATGTCCCACTCAAAACGGGCTAGGTAGCTCAGAAGATCCACTTTAAAAAAAAAAAAAAAAAACACATTAGTCAAGCACAGTGCAATAGACAAAGTAAAACATATGTTTCATATGTCACCTGCAGGACGCAGCATTCACAGCATTAATCCGGACATTTGAAAAGAAACAGGAAATAACCATTATGAAAATAAATCTAAAGAAGAAAAGTGCAGTAATCCTTGGCATCCAATCAGATTTTACCTTTCATTCAGGGGAAAATGGTTTCTGGGCTGGGCTCGGCTCAGATACAGCAAACCCTTACTTCTTTAAAGTGCACGTATAGCCAAAACTTTCCTTTTTAGTTTTGCAGAGTAGGGAAGGTTCAAAGCTCCTGTCAGTTTATTTTTTGCTGTCCATGTCCCATTGGGAAGAGATTCCTTAAAGCCCCACTCTGGGCTGCTGTTAAATTTATCCATGCAGTGGTACCCTCCCCTGCACAGTTTAAAATGCTTGTTTGGCTACAGGGGGAAAGGAATACATTGAAATACTTACTTGTTTTTCACTGCAGGCTTCCTCCTCTCTGGTCGCCTGGTCTCCCAGATCTGCTTTACTCTGCTGCCTGAGTGGTCCTGCGGTCCTGCATTGTACTCAAGGACAATGAGGACAGTACACATCATGGGAATGTCGGGCACAGGAGAGTGATGGCCGCTGGGGATAAGGTAAGTATTTGTACTTATTCTTTCTCCACCTAGCCAAATGAGCATTTAACCCATGCAGTGCAGAAGGGAGGACCCCAATGCATAGGTAGCACTGCATGGAGAGGTTTACCAGCAGCTGGAGTGGGGCTTTTTCTTCCTGTGCCAGAGACACAGAGCAAGTGGCGAAAACTCTTTTTAGACATTTGTCACCAGAATAGATGACCCCTTTGAAAAAAACCTCTCTATTGTTCTGGTGACAACTGTAAAATGTTGGATTTCCAATCACTTTCTTGATGACAGCTGTCAGGACAAAAAGAGATGACAAATCTACCGGGGCAGGGGGTCACAGACAACAATACAAACAAAGGTCCTAACCCTTACCTACTCTATCCAAGAAAAAGTTTTGACTATACATGTTTTAAGGTTTATGAGGATCTCCGTGTGTTCTACCCAGTGGAATCCCAAATACAATCACAAATACAAAGAATTTTAGTGTATGCACATATGCATCCTCAACTTGGGTTCCCCCCGAGGTTGATAGACGTTGCTTGAGCTGTGGCTGATTGACCTCCCATTTGATGGTGCTTACATAGTTCCAGGACCAATGCCATTTGACAATGCCAGCAGTATGACACCAATTATCTTTTTACCTGTCTGTAAGAGTTGCAATTGATCTCCGATAATTTGGTTTTAGTAAGAGTTCCCCAGAGGCCTACAAATTATTTTAGGGGTTCCTCTAAAGTTTCAGAATAGGTGGACTAAAGGTACAGTAGAATTACACATGCAGAATATATATAAACTTCCGCTGCTGACTTTTATTTATAAGGGTGCATACAAGCAGCTTTACTTAATAGTTTGTGAGTCACCGTGCTTGTGACATTCATAAAATAAAAGCGGTGGTAGGGTTGTTTCAGTTTTAATGTGAACAGAATTGTCTTGGCTTGACAAAGGACTTCTCACCAGGAAGTGAGCAGCTCATGTAAGCAGAGGAGGCTTGCAATACAGCTGGAGAGGGAGACAGAGGAGCAGAAGGTAAAGCCCCAGGAATAAATGAGGAGAGGGGTTGAATTGGGCAACTGGAATCAGTGTAATTATGAAGGGGGTTGTAGAGGACAAGCTGGGCTCAACCTAACCCTCAACCCCCCTTCCAGACCAGGGGCAATGCTTAGACTGTGAAGGAGAATTGGGCTCACAGTCGAGGCTGCGGATTTACAGGGTTATTCACAAAAGTGTGAAGAGTTTGGAGAAGGCAGGAGAAGTGAACAATCTAGGACAACATAGCTGATTTGGAACAATTCTTCAATTTAGCTCACATTCCAGGTCAGCAATGTTGTCCTAGATTGTTCACTTCTCCTGCCTTCTCCAAACTCTTCACACTTTTGTGAATAACCCTGCAAAGCTTGAATGCAGTGATGTTTTTTCTGGCTCATCACTAACATACACATAAGTATAGTAGGACCGATTAGCACTGTCCTGCCTGCTTATTCAAAGAGAGGACAAGATTGTGTTCCCAAAACACCAGATACCAGCAAAAAAAGTGAATATTTGCTAGCAGGTAAGTTTTCTCAGTTGTATGTATTTAGCATTTTCAATGTATAAACAATTTAACTCCCTCCCGGCCAGCCGCTGTGTATACACGGCCTGCCGGGAGCTTCTTGGATGTACACGTCCTGTTATATCCGCCCGCTCGGGCGCGCGGCGCGAAATCCCCGCTATTTGAAAAGAGGCAGCGATGCCCGTTAATATACAAGCGATCCGCCGGCGCTTGTATGATCAAGCAGTTAAAGACTACACCTCTAAAGTTTGTACTTTCATACCTTCAAGGGCAGGGGTGGGCAACTCTGGCCCTCCAGTTGTGCTTTTTCTACAAATTCCAACATGCCTCTGCCTCTGAGAGTCAAGCCTGTAGCTGTCAGCCTTGCAATGCCTCAATGGGACTTGTAGATCCAAAACAGCTGGAAGGCCTGATTTGCCCACCGCCGCTCTATTGATAGGTATCCTGTGCCTATCCATGGTCATCGAACTACTGTATGTCTCCCTTCTTGGCAACAATTAGTGTTGCATGAATCGTGGGATATTTTACAAGCCTGCTAGAAATAATGCTCTTAAGATTAGCAAGTTTACTCCCATGCAGTTATATATAATATTACATATAGGAAACACTTTTAGGAAAGCGGCCTGTGGCGTATAAAAAAAAACCCATTGTAGTAGTAGTTAACCATCTGTACAAAGCACCTGAGGCAGTAAAAAGTTAAATTGTCTGTTGTCTGAGTGAAGAAGGAGCATGATATGAGCTGAGTACTGTGTTGTCTCTTCTCACTGATAGCTGACCCCAGCTATTGCTTTTCCATGTTAAGCACTAGGAGCCAGAATACGATACCGCCTGCAAAGGGCACCAACTATCCAATGTTTCCATTCCTCCTGAAATGTATGTATGGTAGAAATAGACTCGACTACAACTTCTTTTATCAAACCGTAAACCATTCTGGATATAACTGCCAAGGATCGGTGATATATATCTGCACCTGAAGCTTCAGACCTGGTGTCCTAATGCCCACCAGTACATATAGATCTATTCCCATTCATCTCTACAGTGATCAGACATTATTATTATTATTATTATACAGGATTTATATAGCGCCAACAGTTTGCACAGCCAGAGCCGTAGCTAGCTCCTTTTGCGCCCGAGGCAATAACAGAAAATGATGCCCCCATCAGACGTGTGCGGTATGTGATGTCCTGCGCCCCGCCTCTAGAATGCGCTGGTGGCCAAATCCAAAATAGCATAAAACTGTGTTTTGTTTGACAAAAGTAATGAAAATATTTTATTTTCCGTTCATTTTGTCCGAAACTAACTTTTAGTCTTTGCACATGTCTAGTAGTAGGTGTGCATGAGTGTGTGTGTGGTGTTTTTTTATTATTATTTTACTGTTGGGGGCTTCGGGAAAATATCACCCCTGACATTTCCCTTTTGAAATAGAAAAAGAGATTGAGGATACAGAGTCCTCTGCCCATACAGGTGGGGGAAGATCCGAAGAGAAGCTGGAGCCTGTGCCGCTCCTCTTCTCCCTGCTGAGTTGCGGCTGTGTTGGCTGCCTTGTGCCCCCGTTGCCAATGGTGCCCTGTGCTCGCCATGGCAACAGGGGCGCCCCCTCTCAGATGCACCTTGAGACATTGTCATACACAGGCACAGCTGATCATTGTTGCAATTTACTTCAGAAGACGCAGGAACACCTCAGTTTATAAATGTAAATAAGTAACCTTGTCCCAGTCCTGTGCCATACCGGGAAGAAGAACCTTGAATCAAAACACTCAAGAAAGACTCAGGAAGTTCACATTTTAATAGCAAATTGTAGCCTTTCTTAACCTTTTTACCCTTGAGGAACCTCTGAAATAAATTTCAATTCTTGGGGAAACCCTGGTAATAATGATTATACCCATAACTCATGGTACATTGAGTATCATTAAGGTGAAGAAAAAAAAAGAATAAGTGATGTGGCATGCTTAGAGTATTTGACATCCAGGTCAGATACGTTTTTACCACTACAAAAGTATATTCAGTGACATTCTTGAAATAATAATTACAGAAACGAAAGACAGTAAAAATGTTGGTGTCCTCTGACATTAGTGGTCAGTGTAGATGTGACTCCTTACATTGGTACGCGGTGGAAAACAGACCATGATGCACTGACAGTCAGTGTAGGAGAGGAGATCAGTTTGCCATTGCTCACAGCTCATGAAATGTCTAGCAACCTCAGAAGGAAAACTAGGGTTCCTTTGAACCCTGGTTGAGAAAAACTAGTTTATTGGATGTTCGAAGACTTCAAAGGCTGAAGTTGACTGCAACTGAGCAAACATAGGGACACGTTGATCTGCAGCATTAGATGATCTACATATAAAGTTTCTGTTTGGCATCTACACATGATTTTTTTAATGTTTTTAATTTACTTTCGGCTGTTTATATAACAAATATTGTATTGGAAATAATAATTTAATACAGGGTACACTCATGACACTGGTTTCACAGTACACTATGGATTTTCTAAAGAGACAACGGCAGAGACAGTTTGCCTTCACACTCTGTCTGTCTTTGATTCAAACTACTGTAAAAGGTTGAATCTGATTGGCATCTATGTATAAATATAATGTAAGACAGACATGTATAATTATAGTAAATGACAGAGCCTTTTGCCTGTAAATTATGACAGCTTTTTGTGTCAGTTGTAAACATAATATCAATTTGCCAACAAATCATTGTACCCAAGATCATCTGATCAGTATACCATTACCAGGTGTGCAAAGCCTCTGGTAAAACACCATGTCAAGTTGCAACTTTATGAATTTATATATATATTTTCCACAT